TTTTTTTTAATTTTTTGTTTTGTTGTTTAATAGTTGACATGATAAAATAGTTGCAATATCTTGCAATAATTGTATTAAAAGAGTGCCTTTAGTTCTTACCAGTGGGAACTATAAATAAAAGCCAATAGTATGTATTTTTGTCTGGCAGCACATATAATAATGCCATTTCTTGCAATTTGAATACAAAATTTGGACATTATTTCTGTTCAGGTCATTGTACAGGATCATATTATGTTGAATAATGCATGTTTTGCTCTATAACCCTTGTCAATAAGAACCTTCTTTTAGGTGTTCTGTTAGAACAGTCAGGATGTGGGTGAAAGTCTGGCATTCCACAGTGACCTTGCCTGCATTGATCTGCAGCAGGGAAGAACTTGTTAAGATCCCTCATTACAGACATTAGATTTCTCCAGCTCTATCGCAGCCAGTCATTATAGCACAGAATGGTAGTTCATCAGTGAGCCCTAAGCTCTGCCCAGAGGTCTAAAATAATAAAAATTGGTTTAAAACACCTATATAATTTTGGCTACTCAAGTACTTATTAGAAGTTGTTTCCTATTAGGCCTTTTTCTCAGGTCAGTATAACTCAAGAGTAACACAGAAATATCTGGGAATTGTAGTTCCTTATTGCCTTGTAAGGGTTTTCATTATCAGTAAATGCAGAATAACTGCATAGATACTACCTTTCTCCTAAATTGGCCAACAGTCTGTGAAGACTGCTCTGTTGTAACGATAATTTCAATTCATCAGCTGCTTGTCTGTAGCATTACTTGTGTAATGCAATAACAAGGGTGAAGAATAAAGGACAGACACGTAGTTTTTTATAGCAAGTGTGTAAATATTGATTGAGTACCTGTCACATATTAGGCACTGTGTTAAGTATAAAATCTTGTTGACATAACAGACATGATGCGTGCCCTCTTGGAGTTTACACCGTACTGCTGTTTAAAGAGGTATGGTTTGAGTAGATGGAGAAGAATGGCCCTTCCTTCCCAGTTCTGAATGTGTCCATCTTTTCTAAGTCCCCAGAGAGAGGAACATGGCTTACAGGGGGATGGAAGTAGGGATGGCCTCTGTAGGAGGTGGTGGTTCATGTGCAGTTCAGCACTTATGGTAGGCTCAGCTTAGGAAGTACTTGGAAAGCAGAATTTATGCTAAATTACATTTGATACGCTAATGAGAATCCATGGTAAGTTCTTGAGAATGAGTGACATGGCCTATGTTGTATTTTAGAAAGATTAGTATAGCAGTGGTAAAAATCAATTAGGGAGAGATAACTGAAGTCAGGAAGCCAGCTGCTTGTCTGGAGCAGTTCTCCAGGTGTACATAGATGGGTGGAAAAAAAGGACAAATACTTAATTTTTTATAGGAAGTGTATAATTGAGGGAAAAGTCAAAGATCATCTCAAGATTTCTAGCTTGAGAAATTGGAGCAAGGAAACAGTTGAGAGAAAATTCCAGTTAGGAGTTTAAAGTATTAAGTTTACTTAGCAGTGTGTGACATCTATGGAGGCTAGGTAGCAAATATTTTTGTAAGTATGTTGAAAGAAAATCAAACCTCTAAAGGCCATTTAGAAGCTAATGATGCTGTTAAGCTCCCTGTTAGTGCTGTAGCCCTAGTAAGACTCTGAGTAAAAGTCCACAGAGAGGGATGGAGAAAACAAGCTATCTAGCATTGTATTGTTTGAACAACTCGAGTGCCAGCAAAACTAAATAAAACATTTGCTAACTAACATGTCTAGTAGCTGGGGTTATTTTGTTAATTGTATTGAACATTAGCAGAAGTACCAGCCGACTTATTACTATACTGGCTATATCCTACTCTATTTTAAAAATTATTACTGCTTATATGGATTGCTGGTGTAAAAATGTATTTAACAAGGTGAAAGTGGAGAGGGCCATAGAAAAAGAAATGTGTCTTAAAGCTACTGAGGGGGAGGATAGTATATTTATCATTGAAGAGATTGGTTGCTGATTTAACTAAGAAATTTTGTGGAAAAGGGAGAAACGTGGTTTTACAAATAGCAATAGAATTATTTGATAACAGATATTTATTTATAACTTATTCCCCTCTAGTTACAGAAATTGAGGTAACTTACTGTGAAACAGAAAGTAGGCATTAAAAAGATAAAGTTGAAAAAATAAAGATCTAATGCTTTACAAGGTGGGGGAGTTGTATTTTACAGGTCAAGATAAGGTGTCTATTGACCATTTATATGGCATCTGTGCTTTCATGGAGGTTAGACGTGTAGGTAATGAAAACTGAGATAACCTTTATTAAAAGTCTTGAGAATAGGAATCTAGACAACATAAAATTTTATCAATGTATTTCACAGATAAAGATTGGGAAGATATAAAAAAGATGCCTGAGCACTCAACATTAATGAAAGATTTCAGAAGAAATACGTAAGTTGGAAAGAAATCAGACCTTTTTGTTTGCTCTTCCAGAAAACTCAGGGTGAGGTTGGCTATTCAACATGAGTATTCTAATAGTTTACTTATTTACTCTAATAAACATTTTACATGATGACAGTCTTCATTTCCTAAGATGTTTAAATGATGATATACAGAAGATGAATATCTAATATCAGTGCTGATTTGGATATGAGAAAAAAATCAACTCCTTTCTTTCCCTCTTTATTACTTCCTGGCAGCTGAGCATCTGTGGAAAGCTTAAAAGCTGAGCAGTAAGAGCTGAAATAAACAAGCCTTGCTGGTAGCCACAGGCCTACCCACCAAGGCCATGTAGTTAACTTCAAGCAGCTTTCGGTAGAGAAGAAGGACTATTTCATTTATTTACAATGCATGATCAGGGGACTGGAAAGGGCAGTTCATAGACCTGTAATAATTTTTTTAATGTTTCATTTATTTTAAACTTACTGGTAAGGCTGAGTTAAACTTTTGACCCATACATTATTGAAGATAATTGTTGAGATAACATTCATGTGGAAAAAGCTACTCAGTATATATTATTCATAAAATTATCTTATGTTCAATCAGTGGTATCCATTCAAAAGTGACTAGTGTGAATATTGAATAAAATATAAAATTGATTTAAGGCTACTCCTTTTATGCTGATTATGCCATTCTCAATATATAATCTGTATTGGTTATGACTAAGTAATTCTGTTTGCAGACAGTAAGCCAGTGTAAAATTAAGTTCAAATCTAATAAAGATATTTCATAGTATTTCTCTTTCAGGTATACCAACTGCAGCCTTATCAAGTATATGGAAAAACATAAAGTTAAACCAGATAGTAAAGCATTCCACTTGGTAAGCCTTAGAGAACAGTACTAATGAAATGCATTTTCCCCTGTAGCCCAACCTGAGGCTTTTGGGATTCTGTTTATATGGTTACTCAGCATCTTAGAGTATTATTACCTTAATGGTTAATGCAGAGATCTTGTTGGTACATCCTAGTAAAGACATCAAAATATTTGTTTTTCCAAACCCCAGATAACATAGTTTGACAGAGTTGTTTAGATACATTAGATTTTCTAAAGATAATCATTGTACCAAATCTGTCAAGGGCATGTTTAAAATTACATTTATTGGTTTTCACCAATTACTTAAAACATTTAAAAACTTTGAGAGAAGAATCAAGAAGAAAACAATCGCATCATTCAGAAATGATTTTTACTCTTTATTTCAACTCTGAAAGATTGTTTCCAAAATTTTTAATTCCCAAGATACCTCTTATAAACTGAGGTACTAGAAGTTCTTCAGCGGTGGTATGCATTATTTGCTTTTTCTGGAGGAATATAAGAGAGGCAATATTTATTACTGTATAATGGGAAAAATGGCTTGAACTAGAATCTAAATGAATCCATGCCCTATCAAAGTAATTTATGAGATTATATTCAACTATTGCCAACTTAAATTTGTTCACAATAAAATGTTCATTTTTACACCATAACAATTAAAAATGTTTTCAGTTTTATGTTTTCAAAAAGTTATATAACATAAAGGGGGAACTTGGGAAAGCAGGTTGTATTTTGTTTTGCTTAAAATCTTTTAATCCTTTATTCCCAGTATTTTTAAATGAATTCATTAAATGGGAATTATTTTACTTTGAAAGAATTAAACTTTCCTTTGTTATAGTACCAGGCCGCTTGGCAAACATATCTTCTATTTTTGTGTCTGTTTCTGCTCCTTCTTCTCTTGCAACATCTTCTGCTTATTTCTATATTATGTCATATACCATATATTTTGTATCTTATCAGCAATTTAAAAAGCATTGCTTAACCTATCATATTACCATACAATGTATTATTATCCAAATAATGGTTTCTTATAATGTACTTACAACAGGACCCCATTGGAAGGTAAGTTAGATCCTTCAAAATTATGGACTTACATATTCTAACAAAATAATGGTAATAGTGGTAGACCAAAAGTCAGTTTTGGGGATTACTCTTTCCCCCAATTCACCGCTACTCAGTACAGTCTGAGGTGACTCTCAACGCTGTCAGCACTGAAATTCTTTCAGTATGTTTCCTTTGCAGCTTTGCTTGTTTTTACTGGTGTGACCTGTCTTGGGTGGGCCCATCTGATAGCTCTAATGAAGCTCCATTAAAACTGCTGAGTATTTTAAATAGCAAATGGCATGCTTTTCTTTCAACTCTAAAGATAAAGTTGTGCTTACACTGAAATATCAGATCATTAAAACTGAATTTAAATCTCACCATCCCAGCATTTCATCTGCATTTTTAAATATTTTATGTTCTTCTGTCCTATAATTGTGTCATCTCCCATTAAGTCTCAACATTGTCTATTAGCGCCTTAGTTTTCAAATTATGGTTCTGATCCAGCAGCACTGGAGTCAGCTGGGAATGTGCAGGAAATGCAGATCCCTGGGCTCCTGCCCAGATACATCAGTCAGAAGCTCTGGGAGTCGGGCCTCGCAGTCCGTTTTAAGAAGTGCTCCGGGGATGCTTCTGATGTACTCTGAATTGTGAAAACCACTGCATAAATCAAAGACCATAAACTAAGAGAACACTATTTAGATAGTCTCGTAAACCACATATTAAAGTCAAATCTAGTCCATAGAGCCTTCAGTAAATTATCTATTAACCAAAAAATACTGAATTTTCACATTAGTGTGATATTTCTGTATGTAGCAATAATAACACTTACAAGTACTTTCTTTGCACCAGGCACCATTTTAATAGCTTTTCATGTACTAATTCATTTAATCCTGAAAACAAACTTATCATAGGTACAATTTTTAATCTCCATTTGACAAATGGGGTTATAGAGAGGTTAAATAACTTGGCAAAGTCACTCAACTAAGAAATTTCAGGTCTGGATTTGAACCCAAGCAGCCTCCTTTCAGAGTGTCCATTCATGACCACACCCCTGTACTTTACAAGTTCTGTGTCAATAACCATATTTATTCGGACTGGAACAGCACTGCCCAGGAGACCTCTCTGATGATCTGTGCTGTCCAGTAGGGTAGTCCCTGGCCATCTAGAAACATACTTGATATAACTGAGAAATTGATTTTTTAACTTTAATTTGGTTTAAATTAATTTAGATTTAAATCTAAGTAGCCATATGGCTAGTGTATTATTTGTGTCATAAAAATTTTTTCCCTTCATAGAAAATACAAGGCTTTTAGTCCTGTTCTAAATTGGATAAAGCAATTTAGGTAATGCACGGGAAAGATCATTGGTTTAAACTAAGAAGATACGTTTAATTACTTCTTAGGAGAACCAGGTGAGATAATGAATATTAGAACAACTATATATAGAACAACTATTCACAAAATGTGAATGACTACATTAAGCTTTTAGTAATTTTTTTGTTGTTAATTTGGGGGAATAAATATCCTCTAAATTGTGATGTTATTCATCAAAAAAACACCTCCCACATATGTGCCAAAGGACATAACTCTGAAAAGTAATGCCATAATGTTTTTATTATTTATGGTTCCAGCTTCAGAAGTTGCTTACCATGGACCCCATAAAGCGAATTACCTCAGAACAGGCTATGCAGGATCCCTATTTCCTAGAAGACCCACTTCCTACATCAGAGTAAGTAATTAATGTATGATAGAGTTGTTTGGAGCATGCTGTCTTTCAGTTGCCACTGCTTTTATATGGGGATCTAAGAAAATTCTTATGGGAAGCAAAAGCTTTGATGGCCTAAGTGTCATTTAGGGGTTTCACAGTTAAGAGGTGTTCCTGTTTCTCTCTTGCTCTATGAAGCACTGCCAGTGTTCGTTTCGGCAATCGTCCAGGTACTCAGCGACAGGGTGATTCTGCATGCTGTAGCTCTCAGAGGCACTGGGGTGGCTCACGGCTTAGTCACGGTTTTGTGTTCCAGTTGCAAATCCCATTCCCAAATAAAAATATTCCCCATACCATCTTTTATTTTCAATGTAGTATGGAGAGTAAAAAGAAATTGTGTTTGAGTAGTGACATTTCATCTGGAATCTGTGTTCGTTGTAATAAGGACAGAGTAATGCTGGAATAAAAGAAAATTGAGTCATTTCAGATGGTCATTGATTATTTTTATTCAGTGAAAAGCCCTCACCTCAGAGGCCTGCTGTAGTGTTGCTGGTTAGAAGAAAAGATTCCTTTTGTCACTTGTATGAAAGCTGCTTATGTTACAAATACGGAGACAAAGTCTATCATAAAAGATTAAAATAAAAAGCACTTAAACGAACCATTTGAAATACTGACGAGCATACCAGAAATCGTTTTCCTTGTTTCTTGTGATCAGCGTTTTTGCCGGTTGTCAGATTCCTTACCCAAAACGAGAATTTTTAACAGAAGAAGAACCTGACGACAAAGGAGACAAAGTAAGTATTAAAGTACCGTTGGCAGCGTCTGCTCATTCACTGCCACCAAACACTTTCTGCTTTGGATATATTTTGTTCTCCTTCTGAGCTGAACTTCATTTTTCCGTTTAACCAATTGAGAAGAACCAGCAGCAGCCCCAGGGCAACAACCACACCAACGGGACCGGCCACCCCGGGAACCAGGACGGCAGCCACGCGGCCGGGCCCCCGCTGAAGAAAGTGAGAGTCGTTCCTCCTACCACTACCTCAGGTGGACTCATCATGACCTCGGACTATCAGGTATTTCTGCCCGTTTGGCACTGACCGCCGTATCGGTATTCACAATATGGGTGTGTGACCTTTGGAAAACACAGTGTAATTAAGAAACTGTACCTGGGGAAGCACGTGGGCATGAAGTGTTTATGTACCTTTACATCCATAAACTTCAACGTGTCTGGGGAAACACAGGCACGAAGTGTTAGGGGCATGGGGAAGGACTGGCAGCGTACGGCAGAGGGGGCTTAGACCTTTGAACTCGACAGACCTGGAGTGATTGGATTTGTTACACCGTTCATTAACTCTGACTTTGGACAAGTAATGTAACATTTCCAGGCTGTTGCTTTTCATCTGTAAATCAAGACCAGCAAAGCCTGACTTCCAATTGTAGCAGTAGATATGGTAAATCTGGGCGCTTGGCCTTTAGTAGGAGCTCAATAAATGGTCTGTTGCTTTGAAAAAACAATATACCATAATGATTAAAACACCAGCTTTCAACTCTCAGCTGTCCACTGATTTCTGGGTAACCTTGAGCAATGGATTCAGATGTTCTCAGTTTCCTCATTTGTAGAATGTGGATAATGGTGTGAGGCTGTGTAGGCTGAGGCACGGGGCTGGCCTGGCCTAGGCACTTAGTAGACGATACCAACCACTCTGTCACTTTTATTATCACTGTCATTAAAATTCTTAGCATTCATAATGCACAGCAAGCACTTCTTACGTGGTGGTGGCGCTGCTGGTGGTGACTCTAATAAGAGCTGTTGAGTACTTACTATGTGCCAGCTATAATCCTAAGTATGAGACATACATATTTCCTTTGAGTGCTATGACAGCAGTGTGAGGAAAGGGTTACTTTCATTTCAGAAACTGAGCCTTGTAGAGACTGAATAATTTTCACCCGGCAGGGGAGTGGTAGACTCAGGTCTGACCACTGCTCACCTGTGGACTCTGTCAAGTGACATTGTCAGTTCTTTGCTGAACAACCTGTTTTGACATTTTTATACCATCTTCCTACTTACTCTGTTCATATTCGCAACTAACCTGGGTTTCAGTGTGGGAAGAAGACTGAAAACTTGACCAGTCAGTTATTTACCCACTAAAAGAGAAAAGGGGATCTTAGTAAACTGAGCAAGGTTCCTGGGGCCTGCCCGCCACACTTCAGGACTTAGACGTGAACTCAGCTTTTTGGTTAAGAAGAGAGCCAGTGCATCAAACCGTGGAATCATTGTCTGCCTAGGTAGTAATTCTCTTCCAAGAAGCTAAACAAGAAATCAGGACAGACTTTGTTGGGGGTCTGTGTGTGTCCTAGCACCCTTCTCCCCACGGGTGGGAAGAGAGCGCGTCTCTCGGCTCACGGCTGGGTTTGCACGCCGTGGGGACGGCATCCTCAGAGTGGTGCAGGCTCCGCTTTCCCCTGAGCTCCCGAAACCGAGGCAATGCTGTCGCGCTTCTTTGTTGATGTTGCTGTGGTTGGTTTCCATGGGTGACTTCAAAAATAGTATTTCTGACTACGATTTCATGTGCCCCCTCTTTTTAAAATGTTACTTTTGCTAGGGTTGGTGGGATTTAGGATTACGTGATTTATTAAGTATACTCTGAAAGAAGAAAGTACTAAATTATGGTTAATCATTTATAGTGTTTGGTGCAGGGATGGGAATGAGAGTCCCACAGATCGTGGGTAGGGACTCTAAACTCTGGCACTGTTTCCCTTTATGCTGTTTTTAGGATTAAAAAGACCACTGTTCTTACATTTCAATAATTATAATTTTACTTTTATATATAATTTGTAGCAAAAAGGGCATAAAATATTTAATGCCAAAGAAAATGATTCTGTGGTACGTTTTCTTGTCAAACTAATTTTTGTTCTTCACTCATAGGTGTGTGTTTGGAGGTTTCTATTGAAACCAGCATGTAAATCAGCGTTGAATTTCTTAACGTATGCATCACTAAGTTAACGTATAAACATTTCAAGCAAATTAGTTCTTATTTATGAAGCAGATACAAAACAGCAGGCAAGAGGGTTGCTTCTGTAGAAAACAGTGGACCGCACTGCATAGTAGTGAGACTTGGCTTAGTATTGTTCACTAGCAGTGCTTCTGCTGTTCATAAAGAAAAGCTGATATTAGAAGGTTTGGGGTTTTGTCATTTTAACTCTCAAGCTAATTCAAGACTCTTAAATTCTTACTGCCTTGAGATGAATGGCACTTGAAACACACATAAGCCGTGCTGGCTTGGGAGATAGTCCCCTCAGAGAGACCCTGGAATCACATTTCTCCCTCCATCTCTTTTTGCAGCGTTCCAATCCACATGCTGCCTATCCCAACCCTGGACCAAGCACATCACAGCCACAGAGCAGCATGGGATACTCAGCTACCTCCCAGCAGCCTCCACAGTACTCCCATCAGACCCACCGGTACTGAGCTGCCTTGGAATATTGTCAATGCACTGTTGCTAATGCTGCCAGACTGACTGTGCAGCTCTCTGCGGGAACCCAGTGTGGGCCGTGAGAATGTGCTGGACGACCACATATTCAAAATGTCCAGTAGGCAAGTTCCACCACTTTTCACAGATTGGGGTAGTGGCTTCCAAGTTGTACCTATTTTGGAGTTAGACTTGAAAAGAAAGTGCTAGCACAGTTTGTGTTGTGGATTTGCTACTTCCATAGTTTACTTGACATGGTTCAGACTGACCAATGCATTTTTTTCGGTGACAGTCTGTAGCAGTTGAAGCTGTGAAATGTGCTAGGGGCAAGCATTTGTCGTCGTATGTGGTGAACTCTTTCCGTGTAACAACATTATTTGACCAGTAGTACACACACACAAAAGTTTAACTGGTACTTGAAACACACAGTATATATTAATTCAACAAAATAACCAGGACTCAAAATGAGATTATTTTGGTACACCTTTCATTTTAGTGTCTTATCAGTGGGTTGATTCATTTTCTACATTAATCAGTGTTTTTTGAGCAAGAATATTGCTTGGATTCTTTTGAAAGTACAAAAGCCACATCATTTTTCCAGAAAGGTTTCAAAACTCCCAAAGATTAATTTTCAACTTACAAGTTTGTTTTTATTTTCAACCTATGACTTGACTGGTATTAAAGCTGCTATTTGATAGTAATTAAATATGTTGTCATTGATATAAACCTGTTTGATTCAGCAAACAAACTAAAATGATTGTCATAGACAGTGTTTTATTTTCCTGTTGGTGTTGCTGATTTGTGAGCATGCTTTAAGATGAAAAAAGCATGAATGGTAACTTCCTTAAAAAGGTGCGGCATCCGATTCGATATTTTGTCCTGAGTTTGAAGCTGGTTGGTGTAGTGCTATTAAAATTTTGTTCAGTTAATTTTCCTTTTAAAAACTTGTTCGCACGTTGTTTAGGGTGCCCTTACTTCAGCAAAGGAGAAAAGGAGTAGGAGAGCCTTAGAATTTTTGAGGAAAAAAAAACCTATAACATACAATGTACTGTATCAAACTATTTTACATGAATGACACAAGTATTCTGATGAATTTAAAAAAAAATGGAACATTGTTAAAAACAAGGTGTTATGTAATAAATTTATTTTTCATAAATCAAAATACAGAATCAGCTGTATTTTTATATACACAAAGGTCTTACCTTAAAATGTGTCTTAACAGTGGCCTCTAAATAAGTCTCTTCTGTTTTGTTTAATAATATCTCTATGTCCTTCCTCTGTAATGGATTAATAACTTTCTGTTTAGATATGGATTCTTTTCCCTGTTGCACTCAATACTATAAAACATGAAATAGACACGTTTCTAATGGAAAAAACTTATGATGAGCCTTCATTTCTAGAATAATTCCTAATTCTTTGTCGTGCTGAGAACAATTTGACTGTTTTCTCCCAAATAATTATTTTTCCTCCCTCCCTCAGCTCAAAGCACAGAAGACAAAAAAATTAACTTAAAAAAAAAATTGAACCCATTCATATAAAATCATTCTAAAACATTGCAAGCACTAAGGAACTCCAGGACTGGTGGGCCTGGCAGCAATGCCGATTTTAGGAGCGGAATTCATGTTTCCGTGCTGAGTGTTTCCACCCTCGTTCATGCGCACGACACACAGATTTCATCACAGTGCTGCCCTCCTGCGAACGCTCGGGGGCTCCCCTCTGACCCCAGAATGGAGTCAAGCCCCCTGCCCACCCACCCCCAGTTTGACTTCTCTCACACTCACCCTTACCGTGTGTCTTATTTCCCTTCTGCTCTGTCTTCTGTTTCTTCTTCCTGCCTTTACATTTGGCGGTTTTCCAATTTCGTGGGTATGAGAACCTTCTGGAGTTCGTGGTTTTGTCATGGTCGAGTCACAGCGGTTGACTCAGTTGGGTTGAGGTGGAGTATGGACTCCTCTTTTTTAACAGGCTCCTCTGTCGGTTCTGATGCAGCAGTCCGAGGAGTCCACATTTACAGAAACGCCTCCGGCTGGCCCACAGGCGGAGCAAAGCGGCAACAAGTGCTTCGAGAGAGGGCGCCCACGTGGACAACCCCTCTTCTTCTAGTGCGGGAAGTTCAAAACGCAAAAACCCATTCTGATGAGTGCCACTCTAAGTGGCCGGAAACTTCTAGAGCTCAGTTCGCAGATTGCCGTATCTCTTTGCCAACCCTCATTCTCTGGTAGGCCTATCCAGTCTTGTGGAATTAAACATGTCGGTGAGCATCAAATTTATACAACCTGCCTACTTTCTCCCTGAGCTCCAGGATTGATATGTATGGAGCAGACACCACACACGTGACTATGCATACGTGCCGACATCATTCTGCAGCCCTTTCCCTGGCTTTATTTTTTTTTCTGCACAGCGTCTGCCTATTTTCTGTCTCTTCTCATAGAATGGCAGCTCCCTGAGAAGAGCTGCCTTCCATCTCGGACTTCTCCTCTTTATGCTTGCTTCCTAGGTGATCTCATCCAGGCTCGTGATGTTTATAGGCTGATGATTCTAGATTTCCAGTCCAGTCCTACCTGTCATATCTGACTCATTATTACAGATCATCTCTAGATTGAATATATCCAAATTCAGACTCCCAGCTTCACCACCCCACTTACTGACTTAACCATCCCGGTGACTAGGACCAGCCCCCTTTCCCTTCCCCGGGCTATCCGGGCCACACAGAAACCTTGGCCATCCTCTGTCACCCTCTGTACCCACTGCATGTGCAAATCCGGTCTGCTTTCCCTTTAAAATATATCCCCAGTGGAACTGTTCCCATCGCCTCTACTGCACTCCGCTATGCCGAGCCCCAGTCAGCTCCTTCATAGACTCTAACAAGAGCTGCCTGCCTACTTCCACCCTTGCCCCCCTGTCTTCTCTACCAGGCAGCCTACCTGAGTAAAAAGTGATCCTTCTAACACAGAGCTCACTGCTCATGCCCCTCTTGTGCTTCTGGCCCATAAATGCCAGAATCCTCACTGTGCCCAACAAAGCCCTCCGGTATTTCTTACTGATCCGTTTTCTGTTAACTGCCCATGTGCTTCTCTCCAGCTACGCTGCGCTCCTTGCTGGTCCTTGAGCCTGCCAATCGCGCTTTGTCTCGGTACTTACGCACTTCCTGTGCCATCTGCATCTGTCTCAAATGCTCTTCCCAGCTCGGGGCTTGGCTGACTTACTCCCTCATTTCTTTCATGTTTGTTTAAATCCTATTAAAAAGGCTTTTTTTCCACACTATATAAAATAGCAGCGTGTCCCCATTTCCCCACAGCCACCAGCATTCTCTGTTCCCTTTATGCTGCTTTATTTTCCTACATAGCACTAACCACTAAAACATATACTTGCTTATTGTTTTTCCCCACCCTACTAGCAGATAAGTTCCACAAAGGCAGTCTTTTTTTCAAATCGAGGTACGAGTGACATACAACATTGCGTCAGTTTGAAGTGTACAACGTGTTGATTTGGTACCCTTAGATATCACCACTAGGTTAGCTATCACCTCTAGGCCTTCTTTATTTACTACACTAGTCCTGACAGCCAGAAGAGTGCCTGACACACACATCCACTCTTAAATATTTACTGAATGAATGAATGACTTTGTATTTGGATGCCAATTAGTATCTCAAGCTCAACATACCAAAACGCGTTTTCATCTCTCTCTAGCTGCCACCGTGTCTTTCAAGACCATCTAGCCTCCTAACTACCCTCCCTGCTTCCACTTGATCCATTCTGTAGCCTGCCTTCCACGCAACAGTGATCACTACCTGGCATTTTTCTACGTTTGTTACATGTGGTTTTGGGTCTGGGGTTTTTGTTGTTGTTTTATTTGGGTATTTGTTTATTATCTGTCTCCACCCTAAGCGCAGGGATTTTGTAGCCCTTTTAAAGAAACTAGAATGGTCATTATACATGCTCTTAATCCTTCAGGGACTTCCTTAGAAGTCATTAGAATAAATTACACTTGGAATAAAGTTAGAATTTCTCAACATTGCCTAAAATATTCCAGTTCATTAGCTATCTGTCCATTTTCATTTCCTACGAAATGATCCCCCGCGCTGATGACCTTAGCGTCCTCTTCCTCAAGTACGTCAAGCACGTAACTACCCCAAGGTATTTTCCTTGCCTTCCGCTTGGAATTCCCTTGCCCTGGAATTTGCCTGTTCAGATGCCACCTCCCTTCCCCTTAGTCGCAGTTGACCTTCTTTTCCTGCTTTAGTTTTCTTGAGAACAATGATCCTACCTAGCATTTGTATAATAGTGTATTTATTGTCTGTCTGTGCCCTTGAGGGCTTTGTATTCCTTACCCTGCCTTCCTCATCCCCTAGGACAGTGCTTGGCATGTATACATTCAGTAACTATTTATCTGAACTTAAAAGAGAACTGCAATAATCACCGTCATCTATATTTCCTAGTTGTGCTGTGTGCTATAATCATTTCTGAAATTGCTTTTCCTACTAAATTAAATTTTAAGATTCTTGAGATATATTTCCAGTGGTTTTCACAGAATTAAACAGAAAAAGGCATCCAGAGATCACACCCTACTCAAACCCAGTTTGGAAAGGAAGAAATAAAACTGTCCTTATGAACAGATAACATGATTGTCTATGTAGAAAATTCCAGAGAACCTACAGAAAAGCTATTAGAACCAGTAAGTGGTTTCACCAAGGTTGCAGGGTACAAGGTAGATAAACAAAATGAGCATATTCCTCTATACGCTGCATAATTGGAAAGTGAAAAAAATGTAAGTACCATAGATAATAGCACTAAAACCATGAGATACTTGGGCACAAATCATATAAAATGTGTGTAACATATGTTTGCTGCAAACTACAAAACAGTGATGAAAAAGAAACCAAGCAAAACTAAGTAAATGGAAAATACAGTGTTTTCATGGATTGGAAGACAATACTGGTAAAAGGTCAATTCCCGAAGATCTTTCAATTCACAGTTCCATTCAAAATCACAGGAGAATATTTGGGAGAAATCAGTAAACTTTTTCTAAAATTTATATTGAGAGGCAAGAGAACTAGAATAAAGAGGCTTGAGGATGCATCTTAAGATGTGTTCTAAACTACAGTAGGCAAGATGTGGCGTCAGGGAAAGAATAGGCTCGTAAGTCAACAGGACAAAATGAGAGTCCGGAAAGATACTGACACAAAGAAGATCAGTTAATTGTCCACAAAAGTGCAAAAGCATTTTATTTTAGCAGAGAAATGATAGTCTTAGATAATCTTTTCAACAAATGGTGCTGGAATAAGTCGATATTCATATGCAAAAACTAGTCAAATAATTCATACCTTGCAGCTAAACAAATATTAACTCAAACTGGATCACAGACCTAAATATAAAACCTAAAATTATAAAACCTGTAGAATAAAACATAGGAAAAAAGTCTGTGACCTTGAATTAGGCAAAAACTTCTTAGATATGACTAAAAGCATCATACACAAAAGAAATAATTACATTGGGCTTTATCAAAATTAAAAACTGCTCTTCAGAAGACTGTTAAGAGAATAAAAAGACAAGCCTCTGACTAGGACATGTTTGCAAATTACATATAGACTTGTATCTAGAAATACAAAGAGATCTTAAAATTCAGTAATAAGTAAACGACCCACTTTTTTTTTTTAATTTGCAGAAGATTTGAATGGACATTTCAACCAAAGACACATGGATGGCAGATCAGCGAGGAAAAGATGCTCATTATCATTGGTTATTAGGGATATGCAAATGAAGGCCACAGTGAGATACTAGACACCTATTAAAATGATTAAAGCAAAGAAATAACTGAGTGCCAAATGCCACTGAGGACATGGAGTAACTAGAACTCGCGTTGTTAGTGGGAATACAAAATGATGCAGTCATTTAAGAAAAGGTTAACAAATTTTAAGAAGTTAAGCACGTCCTTCACCAGTCCCGAGTGAAGCAGAAATTTATGTTAACACAACAGCCTGTACACAAATGTTTACAGTGGCTTTACTTGTTAGTGCTAAAAGCTGGAGGCTCTCTGCTTGTTCATCAAATGGTGAACAGATACTCTGATATTCCCACACAGCGAAATAGGAAGTGAACTCCAGATACACAAAACAAGTATAGTGACTCTGGAAAAGGCAAAATTAGAAGGACAGAAAACACATTTAGTGGTTGCCCAGGGCAGAAGTGAGAAGAGGAATTGACTATAAAAGGACGTGGGAATTTCTTTAGGGGATGCAACTTCTGCATCTTGGTCTTTGTCATTGCTACACAAATGTGTGTGTAAAAATGTGCAGAGCTGGTCAGGTGAATTTTAGTGGTTTTAAATTATTCCTTAAT